TCAGCTAGCTTAGTGGCTGCAGGGAATAAGAAAGAATTTATAAACAGCCTAGAGGAAGAAAGAATGGGCTATTTTCCAGCTGAGGGAACTGGGGAAGACAGAGTGAGGGAAACGACATATTAGTTTGGCTTTAGAAGATGTGTAGGATTTGGGTTTGTGGCAAAGGTGGGGAAAGATCATGTAGTCAATGGAAATATGAACACAGCAAGGACTCTTAGATGTTCAGTTGGATGAAGATGTCTGCATAGTAAAAGCCGACATCCTAAGGATAAGCTTGACCCAAACACAGAAGGCCCTTTTAGGGTTGTCCCTGCACTTGGACTTTATTTTGTTGTCAATGGAGCATATTCAAGGGTTTTGGTAGGGCCATGACATGACCAGAGCTATAGTCTAAGGACAACCAATAATACACAAGATGAGCTGGAAAGGTGAACAGTATGGAGCCTACAGATCACAGGAGAGGAGATGGAGCCTTGGGTAACGGGCATGGGAAACGGTGAGTGGAGGTCAGGAAAGGACTCAACTGATGAGTCCTTGAATGTGGGGCCCAAATAAGGAAAAGAAAAGATGATTGTGAGACTTGTAGCTTGAGTAACTGGGAAGAAATACTTTGACTTTAGAAGATTTGGAAAGAGGATTGAAGAGAAGGTATGTGTGGAGCTGTAGTCATCTGAGGACTCATCACAGAAGGCCTTGGTTGGAGCCTTTATGAATGGATGAAACTGCCATAGAGAAGTATTCAGGGGGGAAGAAAACAGAGGGTAAGCAACAGCAATTAAAAGGTAAATGTGGGGAAAGGAACAATCAGAAAAGAGACAGTTTCATTGAAGTTTCATTGGACTGCTCTTCCAAGGGTCCTGAGTTCAATTCCCAGCACCCACATGGTGGCTCACAACCATCCCTGGTGCCCTCTTCTGGTGTGCATGGAAGCAGAATGTTGTATACATAATAAATAAACAAAATCTAAAAAAAAAAACAAGAATTAGGAGCACAGAAGGATGAGGAACGGTGTCCAGGAGTTCTGGAGAGCGACAGGAACACAGTGTATTGATAAACGGCAGGGGACAGAGTCAATGAGGTATGGAGGCAGGAGCCAGATTAGAAGGAATTTTGGAGGCTCTAGAAGCAGTAAGAGTTACTCTGACTAGAAAGCCATTAGGGAGAGAATGCGCTGAGGTTCTCTGTGATGCCGGGCCCAAGTAGACCACAAAGAACACGGGAAAAGGAGCTTGCCCTAGAGAAATTGAAGTCTGGAGAACTGCCTCTGGGGAGTTTCCATGCCAGTGTCCAGAGTTGAAGACCTGAGGAAGAGAGCACACCTCTTAGGAATGAATCAGTTAAGATTATGGGTTTGATAGCAGCATGCCTGATACTATTTCCTAGGGCTGTTAGTATAAGTCCTTCCCTTTCTTTGGCTCCAACAAATCTTGCTCCCAAAGGATGGAATGAATCTCTTCATTAGCAGAGTCCCGTGACTTTCCGGCTTTGGGTTCAGCGCCCCATGTTTGGAGGCTGGGGCTGAGCCTAGTAGTCTCTGGGAATCCTATTTGTGCCTTTGCCCTTTATTTGAGTTTGCACCTCTGATTGCCTATCCACGACAAACCATAAGGTTGCTGAACCACAGTAACCATGTGGAAAGGTTACCCAGGTCGTTTATCTAGAACTGGTGAGTAGATAACCATACCAGGAGCTTTTTTGGTTTAGAAATCAAGTACACTTCGCCAATGCCCCAGTCAAATACACTTCTCCAATGCCCCACGTGAGTCTTCAGCTTTCTTTACCTCCCCCATCTTCAATTCTGCCTTCCTTGCTCTACAGCTGAGGACTCAAATGCCAAGCTCTGATAGTGAGCTAGGCTGGGGTGGTACTGAGCTCCAGGTCAGGCCTCCACAGCCAAAATTGGGATGAAAGAAGCAGCTGTCCTTGGTCCCCTGTTTGCAGAAAGACCCCACACTTGGGCCCCACTACTTTCTAATGTCACTGAGTATGTAGTGGCCTGGGTGTAGTCAAGTTCATATTTTCTTTCTTCCCCTTCCTTCCCTTCCTTCTTTCCTTCCTTCCTTCCTTCCTTCCTTCCTTCCTCTCTCTCTCTCTCTCTCTCTCTCTCTCTCTCTCTCTCTCTCTCTCTCTCTCTCTCTCTCTCTCTCTCTCTCTCTCTCTCTCTCTTTCTCTTTTTTGTTTATTATTTCAAGGCAGGGTTTTTCTGTGTAGCCTTAGCCCTCTTGGAACTCACTGTGTAGACCAGGCTGGCCTCAAACTCAGAGATCCATCTGCCCGAATGCTGGGACTAAAGGCGTGTGCCACCACTGCCCGGCCCGTTCACGTTTTCTAACCCTAATGAAACGGATTCTTTTCAGCTGGCCCTTTCAATCTGCTGGGTTTGGTTCTCAGTAGAAGAAGTTTTCCGTTGAGGTTCTTTTAAACGCCTACATGCAAACTAAAGTGCACTCAAGCTTTGGTGGGATGTCACCCACAGCTGGGACAACAGAGGCAGAGAGGAGAGCACCAGCTCCAGGTCACTCTTCTCTTAAAAAATGATGAACAACAAAACCAAAAGCAACATTCAAGGAAACAGATTCCATATGAAAACAGGAAATTCCCCCCTTCCCCTATAGGACACAGAAATCAATTCCTAGCTAACCACGATGTGATGCGTTGTGTGGCAAACATGGCCTGTGTTGGGGCTTATTCGGCAGCCGTGCATTGCTGCAGTCAGGAGGTTGTGAACCATGGCCTGCGGTGAGCAGTGGAGCAGTGGCAGCAGTGGCCCTGCCAGTGGTGGTTAGGCTTTGTCTTGCTCTATTAAGCAAACACAGTTAATATAGATGAAAGGTAACCTTGATAGAAGTGAAAATTGAAACCGGGGTGGAAGGGAGCCCGCAGCTGCTTTGCACTTCCTCCTGTGCAGTGGGATCAACACTTCTGATGTGTTCTGGAAGGGATGTAGCTTTTAAAAATACCATTTTTTTTTTCAGAGTGTTTTGGGTTTTTACATCCACCCCAGTGAAGGAAGGGTGTGGAAGAGAGTTGTTAAACAGACACCTAGACTTTTTTATATGAGTGTATGGAGTCAAATCCAACTAACTGGTGGTTTAAATTTAGCTTTTTTTGTTTGTTTGTTTGTTTAGATTTTTATTTTATGCGTATGAATGTTTGGACTGAAGGTGTGTTTGTGACACCTGTGTTCCTGTGGAAGTTAAAAGAGGGCATCAGAACCTCTGGAACTGCATTACAGGTAGTTGTGAGCCACCATGTAGCTGCTGGGGACCAAACCCTGGGCCTGTGCAAGAGCTGCCAGTGCTCTTAGCTGTGAGCCATCTCTCCAGCACTATTGTAGCGTCACTACACCTGAGCCAGGAACTGACTGTGTAAAATTGGGAAATTTTTACATGTAGCTGCTTCCACATTTCCTGTCTGAGAAAAAAGGAGTTTGGAGTGGCTGACGTCTAAATTCTCTTTTGCTCTAAATCCCACTGATGTGTTTCTTTGTGGAGAAGCAAAACCACCAAAGTCTGAAAGAGTGAGATGAGCACTTATACCGCTTGCTTTATACATGGACATCTCTTGCAATTGCTGGTCTCATGAGGCAAATGTGTTTAGGGCTTTTTTTTCTTGGGTTGGGGGTCAGGCTGGCTAAACTGTGTGAACTAAACTAGCCTCAGACTCACAGAGATCTCCTGCCTCAGTATCCCAAGTGCTGGCAGTGAGGGCGTATGCCACCACGTCCAGCGTGCCTTCCACCAGTCTTATGTGATTCTTCTTAAAAGAGCTGTAGAGGGCTTGGGCAGTGACTCAGTGTGTGTTTCATCCCCAACACCCAAATGAGATGACAGGCATGATGGCAGGCACTTGCAATCCTGGCACTGAGGAAGTGGAGACAAAAAGATCCCTGGTGCCTAGTCTGATCACTGAATCTCAGGCCCCAGAGAGAAGGGGGGAGAAGGAGAGAGGAAAAGAAGGAGAGAGAGAGAGGGAGGGAGAGAAGGAGAGAGATTGTCTCAAAAAACAAGGTGAGCAGTTCTTGAGAAGTGACATCTGAGTTGACTTTGGCATACACACACACACACACACACACACACACACACACACACACTATAGCATGACTGGAGAGGTGTCTGGGAAGGAATTTTGCCCTAGATTCTGAGTTCCATCCCTCTGACTGTATCCACCTGCAAAAAGAATGCCCAACAGTGCAACAGCCCTTTAGAGAACAACATTTAGTCACCTAACTTGGGCCAGTCCGTCCTTTCAAGTCCAGTACTGTAATTAATTGATCTAGGGTCTTGAGTTTAGTCCTACTTAGATTAGGTCTAGCTATCTCTTCCCCTAACCGGGTTGAACCCAGCTCACCCAGAGCCATAGACGTGGCTCCTCAGGTTGAATTTAAAGCCTCACTTCTCCTTCTGTCTTTTTCAACACTGCTCACTAACACCAGCACTTCCTCTGCTTCCAAGAGAGAGAGATAAGAGAGTTTTCCCCACGGTTCACAAGGAAGGAAAGACAAAAGCATGGCTTCAACTCAGAAGAACAGTTTCACTATTCAGCTCTCAATCTTAGTGGTCTGCATAGAAGCCTGTAGCAACAAAATGGTATTTTTGTCTTGAAGCCAAAGAGCATATCCCATTGCCTCTTTAGCTGCAGCCACCAAAAAAGATTCCTTCTCTCCAAGGATCAGAGACTAGTTGTTCAAAATGTTTGTTTCCTGGTCTCTAGATGACCTAGGTCACTGCCATCTCTCTCTCTCTCTCTCTCTCTCTCTCTCTCTCTCTCTCTCTCTCTCTCTCTGTGTGTGTGTGTGTGTGTGTGTGTGTGTGTGTGTGTAACTGGTTCAGAATTCAAATAATGAGTGATCACCCTCCTGGCACTCTCTTGCTTTGTATGTATACAATGTTCCATGAGCTTCCTCTGTATTCAATCGTCAGTTGTGGGCCTCTTTTCTGAGCTGCTTCACGGCTTCAAATACAGTCATTGTTCATCTCTCGCATTTATGTCCCCTGCAGAAGACTCGATGAAAGTGAAAGATGAATACAGCGAAAGAGATGAGAGCATTCTGAAGCCGGAGCCCATAGGAAATGCAGACGAGAGCGAAATTCCTTACAGCTATGCAAGAGAATATAATGAATATGAAAACATTAAGCTGGAGAGACATGTTCCATTCGACAGCAGCAGACCGACCAGTGGGAAGATGAACTGTGATGTGTGTGGGTTATCCTGCATTAGCTTCAATGTCTTGATGGTTCATAAGCGAAGCCACACTGGTAAATAATAATCTCCCCTCTCGGTTCTCAATACTGTCCATGTGCAGCCTTGTGAGGGACGAAGCAGCGGGATTTGGGTCTTCTTTTGGATCCCTCCATTGCTTTCTTCTGTGATTTTGATGTCTCTCTCTCCCTCTTTGCATTGTCATCTTACCCCATGACTCTTGTTTCTGTCTCACTATGCATTTGACAAGCACATTGCAAACACTACGAATAAAAAGAGACTAACAAAGGCCCAGTGTTGTGGTGCACACCTTGAATCCCAGCAGTTGGGAGGCAGAGGCAGGTGGATCTCTGTGAGTTCAAGGCCAGCCTCGTCTACATATAAGTTCCAGGACAGCGAGGGCTGTATAGTGAGAACTTGGGTGAGAGGGAAGACTGACCTGTGAAAACAGCCATCAAGATTAGCCAAATAGTTTTTCTTCAGGTAGTAAGCAGGAGTTGGAGAAGTCTTCTAAGTGTTTTTACATGGCACTTTCATGAAAGCGGGTCCCCTAACTATGTTGGGTTCAGATTTGGTAGATAAAAGGATATGGGTTTTATTGTTGGTTTTAAATACAGCTTCATACGGTAAACAAAGAGTCCATAGAAAGGCCTATGACCAGGCCACACTGAGTCCGTAGACTTCATCTGATGCAGGGACTCTAAAAATTGGCGCCTTGACACCTTACATCTTGCATCTAAGTGTGCCTCAATGGCTCAGTTCTGTCACTCAGGAGACTGAAGCAGGACGACCATTGTGAGTTCCAGGCCATCCTTGGCTACAGAGGAAAAGTCCTGTCAAAAAGAAAAAAGGGTAAAACCACCAAGCAAAACCCAGCACCAACACTCAGGAGGCAGAGGCAGGAAGATCTCTGTGAGTCTGGGGCCAACCTGGTCTACACATGAGTTCCAGGCCAGGGCTATAGTGAGGCCCTGTCTCAGTAGTACAAGAAGGCTTGAATCTCTGAGTCCTTCCTCAAAGGCGACTTCGTTCAGATGCCAAGAGAGAGAAAAACCTCTAGACAGCTCCTGAGGCTGCTCGTGGCCCTTGGCAGTGACTCAGAGCAAGATAACTAGAACAGCTATATTGAGTGGGAGTGTTCATTCTTCAGGGAAGAAGATCCTATAAGTCGGTTCACCTCAAAATGTAGCTCCCAAGTGATCTCTCACTGAGGGCGGAACTGCCCAGGAGGTGGGCATCTCGCCCTTGCTTTCCCACTCTCTTTGTGATCAGAGCTCTCCTCTCTCGTCCTCTCTGAAGGTGAACGCCCGTTCCAGTGTAATCAGTGCGGGGCATCTTTTACTCAGAAAGGTAACCTCCTCCGCCACATTAAGCTGCACACAGGGGAAAAACCTTTCAAGTGCCACCTCTGCAACTACGCATGCCAAAGGAGAGATGCGCTCACGGGACACCTGAGGACGCACTCTGGTAAGTGAGGGACACAAGCATTGCACATCTAGTGGCTGTGAAAACAGTCAAGTATGACGGCTCCAATCTGTCAAGCGCCCTCTGAAGGTTTTCATCAACAGAGACCTCTAGGGCAACTGCACTTCCATTAAGACATTAATTGCTCTCCGTCTGCCTCAGTGGAAACTCTCTCCAGCAGCCTTGTGTCTGGAGAACAGCAGACAAATTACAACGCCTTTGTAGTTTTTGTGAGAAAAATTGTGGCCATCAGTATTTTTATGGTAAATCTTATAAAAGGACTATTTCCTTAATAAGCACACACCCGTTTTTTCAGTCTTCCATTCAGAAAAACTACACAAGCAAACTATGTACAGTTTGTAAATAACTAAAAAGTGTAAAGCAGGGGTCTGAAGAGTTGGCTCAATGGTTGAGAGTCCGGATTGTTCTTCCATGGTATCAGGGTTTCACTCTTGGCACCCACAGAATCTGTTGTCTCATAGCCAACTTCAACTCCAGCTCCAGGAGATCCCATGCCTCTAGTCACCTCAAGCTCTTGTACTCAACACAACAGATATCATGTAATTTAAAATAATAATAAAAATGTAGAGCCTGGTGGTGGCGGCGCACGCCTTTAACCCCAGCACTCGGGAGGCAGAGGCAGGCGGATCCCTGTGAGTTTGAGACCAGCCTGGTCTACAAGAGCTAGTTCCAGGACAGCCTACAAAGCCACAGAGAAACCCTGTCTCGAAAAACCAAAACAAAACAAAAAATAATAATGAAAATATAAATCAGGCATAAATTACTATTTCAGGTTCCTTTTGGATGACCTGGGATAAACTTCCTATTCTTTTTGTTTGTTTGCTTGGTTTTCTTGTTGTTTTATTTTTTGAGACAGGGGCCCTTCTTTTTAGTCCTGGTTAAACTGGAATTCACTATATATACCAGGCTAGCCTCAAAGTTGTAGCCGTCTTCCTGCCTTTATCTTCTGTGTACTATATTTGTAGGCGTGCACCACCTTACCCAGCTTCTGGCTAAATTTCCTAACCCCAACTTTCCCCTTCCTCACCCCATTTTTTTTAAAGCTCTAAAAGCAACAACAAGAATTCTTAAAAAGCCACATGCTGCCTCCAACTTTTCAATCCTTATTTTAAACAAGCAAGGTGACACTTTTTTAACATTTAGAATTTCCCTCTTAGAAAAATAAGGCAAGTCTTATTTTCAAAATTGGGACCTTGTGTTCTTGATGTTATCTGGCAATTTTTTTAATTTAAAAAGAGAGAGAGAGGTTTGTTTTTGTGTCAATCCACATTACTGCTTTGACTAAACCCCAATCTCAAAACTGCTCACAGTTCAGAGTAAGATTAAACAAGCCGACCTCAGCAAAACCCACGACAGATCACATGTGGCAGAGAAGGTTTTTCTTTCTTTTCTTTCTTTTTAGCTGATTTGTCAATGTAACAAATTAGGGATGGGATTGATGGAAAGAAAAAAAAGATTATTTCTTTCCTGTTGCCCTTTTTCAAGCTTAGTAGCGATAAGTCTCTTCAGACATATTCCAGAGTACCCAAATTATATGGAAATATAAAATTCTTAGCCATTGCAAGCCTGTGCTTTATTTTGGTTTGGGATTTCATAAGGATCTCTTGAGGATGTTTTTACTTGAAAAGCAAGAGGAATTGGAAGATAAAACATTTCATGGTGGAGCCAGATGACTGACACAAGGCTCCAGGTTTAATCCCTAGCATAATAAGAAAAAAAGGAGAAAAACACATTTCAGTCTCTAAAACGTTGACAACTCTTTAGGTTGAGTTTTATCAATGGATATGGGCCAGCTTATGAGGAAACTTTTGATTTGTTTTAGAAAATTAGTTGAAGTCATTTTTTGCAATTCATTCCTTTTGTTTGTTTGCTTGCTTGCTTGCTTGTTTTTCCAGATAGAGCCTCATTATATAGCCCTAGATGTCCTGGAACTAACTATGTAGACCAGGCTGGCCTCAAACTCACAGAAATTCACCTGCCTCTGCCTCCAGGGTGCTGTTAATAAATGCATGTGCAACTATGCCTAGCTCCTGCAATTTATTCTTAATTCTATTATTTAAAATGTTCTTTATTGGGATTGGAGAAATGACTCAGCAGTTAAGAGCACGGGCTGCTTTTCCAGAGGACCTGGGTTTGGTTCCCAATGCCCACATGGCAGTTCACAACTGTCTGTAACTCCAGTTCCAGAGGATGTGACACCTTTACAGAAATACACGTAAAATAAAGTTAAATAAATTTTTAAAAATGTTCTTTGTTAATCAGCCCTGTCTTTGCCTATACTTGTTAAAAGCCACTTGACAGGAATGGCCCACACATTCCAAACATGTCTAGCCCAATTCTAATGCCCACAGACTACCTTATTTCTTATTTGCAGTTAGATGGATACCACAAAATAGGAAGGATGCCTTCCCCTTCGATTAATTTTATGTGAATGAGTGTTTTCCCTGAGTTTGTGTACCTAAGGAGGTCAGAGGAGGGCATCAGATCCCCTGGAACTAGAGTTAGTATAGATAGTGGTGAGCTGCCGCATGGGTGCTGGGAACCAAACCCAGATCCTCTGCAAGACCAAAGAGTGATCTAAGCCAAGGTCCCAAATAATTTGCTTTGTTTTTGGTTTTGAGATACGGTCTCTCTATGTACAGCAGGCTGGCTTCAAACTCACAAAGGGCCTCCTGTCTATGCTGGGTTAAAGGTCTAGGCCACCACACCTGGCCCCAGTTCACTCTGACATCACACTACCCTGATATCTCTCTCTGTCTCCCTCTGTATCTGCCTCTCTCTCCTCCCCCCCCCTTTTTTTTTTAAACTCTAGATCCCCTGGGACTGGAGTTAGAGCCAGTGTGAGCCACCCCATTTGGGTGCTGCGAACCAAAGCTCAGTCCTCAGGAAGAGCAGCCAATGCTCTTAACTGCTGAGCCATCTCTCCAGCCCTGGGACCTGCCTTTGTTAATCGAAAAGACACCAGATTTAACCGGGAGCCAAACACTAAGTCAAACAGCAGTCACACGCTGCAGATCCTTCTATCTGTGCTAGGAGGACATCCTTTTCAATACTCTGGTCCCCTCCTAGACTGTAGCTCTGTTTCAGCTTAACAGATCTGACATTGACAGAGACTTGGAGACGTGGGTCTAGCAGCAGCCTCATTCCTAGAGACCAGTCTCCTCAGAGCCGGAGTCTCGGTGAGTGGGGTCCCTGAGAGTGCTCTGTGTTTTCCTTCTAGTGGAGAAGCCCTACAAGTGTGAATTCTGTGGAAGGAGCTACAAGCAGAGAAGTTCCCTGGAGGAGCACAAGGAGCGATGCCGCACGTTTCTTCAGAATTCTGACCTGGGGGATGCCAGTAAGTTCCACAGGGCTCATTTCCCCCCACTTGTTAATGAACGTTTGCCCTCCTAGGTAGTGGAGGCAGGTTATAGACAGAACAAATAAGCAAGGAGAGATAGTGAGTGTTATGGAGAAAAATAGAGCAGGAAGTGTAGGCTAAGGGTGAGCCAGGGAAGGCATCAACCAGGTAATGTCCTGATGGACTTGAAGGCAAGGCAGCCAGCCCCACAGATCACTGGGGATCCATATGTGCAAAGGTCCTGCCGCTCCAACTTAAAGAAATGTAAATATAGCCCTGAGTGCCTGGAACAGAATGAGCAATGGGACATGAAGCCAGAGGAGAAAGGGGACACCAGATCTTATCAGGCCTTGCAGGCCATTGTAAAGACCTTTGAGTGAAACTGAAAATCTTTGAGCACAGACAGATGACATCATCGGACTTCTCATTTGAAAGTCATCACGTTCCTGAGAGTAGACTGTGCTGAGGACAAGGCCAGATAGGTCTTGGGGATACAGTTAGCAATCTGTGGCAAGAATTCAAGCCAAAGGAAAATGTGTCTTGGCAGTGATGGGAGTTACAGTGTTGTGGTTCTGTGAATTCTTTTCAAAGGGAGAGCCAACGGGGTTTCCTAACAGTGACGCAATGGCAATAGCAGAGGGGTGTGCAGCCTGGGAAGTGGTTAGGAAGAATCAGTTAAAACATGGAAGGATTTGCACAGGGCCCAGTGGTGATGTCCTTGTCCACACACGTGACTTACTGTGATGTTTGTACTTGGTTGTGAGAGGTTTCCTATTTTCCCCAGGGATTTGAATTGTATACCTCCTGGCCACAGATTGAAACACGACGTGTGTCCTCCTCCATGACCGGTGTAGTTTTATTTATTCTCATCCTATAGTTGAATCAGCCTAAAGCTTTTCTTGTATGATGATTGGTGGTCATTCTTCATCCTAACCATTTGACCCTCAACCTGGTTCTTCAGCTGGTTATTGGTTATGAGAGCCAAGGGCTTATTTAGAATGGGAAGCAGTCCTTGTGCGCATTGATGGTTGACAGCAGTAACTGCTAATTACAGAAGCGTGACAGAGCAATGTGAGTGTCACGAAAAGCAGAGTGGAAATCCCGAGTGTTCACCCTGTGGAGTGGAAAGAAGCTTGGGTTTTGGATTAAGCCTGTTTCCTGGTTGGTTTAGGGGCTAGCCAACTGAAGCCTCTGGGTCTTTGCTTGCTTCTGCCTTTCTTCTCGATGGCATCTTGAGTTTTATCAAGGACTCTCGTTCCTCCTTGTTTCTAAAGAGTGCTGCTTGTTACTTTAAGAAAAACAACAAAAGCTTGTTGTTTGCCATCTCAAGTGGCATGCTCACTTAAGTTAGTTAGTGTTTGCCCATAAAAGAAACAGCTAGTCCTACTTTCTTGCTTTAGAGGTGGGAAAACAAGACTTGTCAAAATCCAGAGGCTAGGAGTGAGCCTGTGTAGGTCAGAGGAACTGTTCTGGCTGCATTTTTATCATTTTAAAAATAAAAAATGACTAGATCATCAAAAAAATCCAATGGCTAACTTAAAAATCTCTAGAGCTTTAGTATGCTTGTTTGGTTTGGTTTGGTTTGGTTTGTGTGTGCATGGAGGCATACGAGTGCACATGTTCACACATGCTTATGTCTGGCAGTGTTTTTTTTTTTTTAAGTACAAGTTAAGATCAATTCATAATCTATAGCAGCCGAGCATAATGGCACATACTTCAATCTCAGCATTGGGAGGTAGAGGCAGGTGGATCGTTCAGTCTGAGGCCAGCCTGGTCTAGAGAGAACTCCAGGATAGCCAAAACTATGTAGAGAGATTCTTTCTCAAAAAAACAAAACAACAACAAAGAATAAATTAATAAATAAATAAAACTGTACAACCATCTTCATTGTCTAATTCCGGGACATTTCACCACTCCCAAGAGAGACCTCCTACCTACCAACAGTCGGTTCCTTCCTCCCAGGACTGGCAACAACTCACCTACTTTTGGTCTTTATCGATTTCCCTATCAGATATTTCACATAAGTGCAATCACATAATCACATTACGGGAAACTTTTAAGTCTTACTTCTTCTAATAGACATAATGATTTTGGTTTCACCTATGCTGAAACATGTATTATTGCTTAATTCTTTTTTGTAGCTGGATAATAGTCCATTGTATGGATTCACCACATTGTGCTTTTCTGGTTATCAGTTAATAGTTAGGGGATTTATTTTCCCTTTGGAAAATAATAAGCTATATTTTTAGTGATCATATATTATCTGGACAGCAAAAGAAATATGGCAACATATACTGAATGGACAATATGTGTGTGTGTGTGTGTGTGTGTGTGTGTGTGTGTGTGTGTTGATTCTCCTGGAAATGGAAGAGGGAATCAGTAAGTTCTATCCCATATACAATGTTGAAATGGTTATTTTTGAAGTAACTTTTACTTCACATCCCGTGCCATTTTGGGAATTTAATGTAAAAAGTTACCAAAGTATTTAGGCTGTTCAGAGTGATGGGGCAGGAGGCGGTGAGCTGCCAGCTAAGCTAATTTGCATCCATAGGGCTGTTTGATGGATGCGTGCAACATATTTTAAGTCTCAGCAAAAAGTCAAGAGTTAACCAAGTCAGCAAGTTCTAATTGAGTGTTTTGTCTTTTCTTCTCTTCCTTTTTTTTTTTTTTTTTTTTTTTTTTTTTTTGA